AAGTCGGACGCTTAACCGACTACGCCACCCAGGCGCCCCAAAATCTACTCCAATTTCTATTGCGATTCTCTAGAATCTGTAAGAAAAGAATCACACAGAAGGAGCAAGTCCTTTCTTGATAAAAATAGCTATCCTGTTTGTAATCTGAATGTGCCTTTCTCTTGCTTCAGATGTTCCATTTGTTCTTCTGACCTTGTTGTGACTTCTGAGAGAACTTTGTTTATAAAGAATGTAATAAGCCTAGCTTGTTTATTAAAAAAAAAAAAAAGCACATCTTGTAATTGCTATGGATTGAGCATACATATATTAAAGAAATAAATATTTTAAAGAAATGTATTTTCATATCTGTTTGATTTTTTTTTTTTGCCTAGAATTTTGAGAATTTTTTCCTTTATCAGCTTACTTATTTTTGTAATATCCCCCACCCCCTACCGTGACTCAGTATTGTTTATATACGATAAACATTCATTAAGAGCAAAACTTTAAACATGTCTTCCATTTATTTTATAGAAGGTATACTTACTGAATTTCGGATAGAAACATGTCTCATAAATATATGAAAGAACTTCAAACACTGTGTTTTTCTCATAGGGAAGAGCAAGAAGAAACTTCTGCAATCCGAGTTGGTTTTATCACATATAACAAAGTGCTGCATTTCTTTAATGTAAAGAGTAATTTGGCCCAGCCTCAGATGATGGTGGTGACTGATGTTGGAGAGGTCTTTGTTCCTCTGTTGGATGGTTTCCTTGTCAACTATCAAGAATCCCAATCTGTGATTCACAAGTAAATATCAAGTATTTTATAATTTAGATAAAAATCAGGGATCTGTTCTGAATTATTTTGATTCAATCACATGTTGTTTTGGCATTAGCAAGGGAGTTTTAATGTATGGATTGTAAAACTCTGTCGTTTATGTTAGTTCTATTTTAAATGTACACCAGTATCTAGAAGGAAGAGTTTTTTTTTTTTTTTTTGATACACTCAACCAGTCCCTTCTCTTTGCTAAAAAAGTTATGCAAAGGAAATATTTTCTGCATATTGATGAGTCTATTCAATGATGATGGTAATAGCTAAAGATATAGCTACTGTTCCAAGAATTAATGGTCTAAGAGGTCAAATATGTAAATAGTGAAAAAATATTTACAGAGAGTGTGCTTTTGTAAATGTTACAAATAAGTCATAAATTTTGGTTCCAGAACGTATCAAGATATCATTCCCTTAGGGATGACCTGTGAAGGTCACCCATAGGTGTTCAGCATAAAATAAAACCGTATGTGTTCAGGCTTGAAATGTTAATGACTTATTTCTTGAAGTTTATTACAAATATGCTTAACACTTAAAACCTTTTACTCATTCACTTATTACAGTTTATTGGACCAGATTCCAGAGATGTTTGCAGACTCTAATGAGAATGAGACTGTCTTTGCTCCTGTCATCCAGGCTGGCATGGAAGCGCTAAAGGTGAGAAGTCTTTTTTAATTGCTAATAAATAAATTTTTAAAACCAGACACACACACACACACACACACACACACACAGGAAGTTTCATCTATGAAAGAAATTACAGCCTTCATTAGAGCATGTAGTTTGCTAGAGGCACGTTCCAAACTTCCCTACAAATCTCAGGAGGAAAATGGCCAAAATCATGGATTGCTCCCAGCGTTTACATTCCAGAACTGTTATCATCTGAGTAACTGATTTTGTCAGTATTTCCAGTTTAGCTCCTCCCTTTGGCTTTTATATGAACTTTATATGATCTATTTTATTTTTATTTTTTAATTTCTTTTTAGCGTTTACTTTTGAGAGAAAGAGCGCAAGCAGGGGAGGGGCAGAGAGAGAGAGAGACAGAATTGGAAGCAGGCTCCAGGCTCTGAGCTGTCAGCACAGAGCCCTATGCAGGGCTTGAACTCATGAGCTGTGAGATCATGACCTGAGCTGAAGTTGGATGCTTAACTGACTGAGCCACCCAGGTGCCCTATATGATCTATTTTAAAAATACTTCAGCAGTATCAGAACTACCAGATATGAAGGGAAAAATACCCCTATTATCCTCTCCTTCCTTGGGGTTTTCAAACATGCAAGGGCAGGCAAGGCCTCTGACAATGACAGATGTGAATGCCACACAGGGCATTGCTGAATGCCAAAAGCAGATGCGAGGTTGGCCATGTCTTCACTTGGGGAGCCGGGCCCTAATGACTCTGGCCATTTTCATAGTAATAAAGACAACAATCTGAAGAAGTCAAAATGATTGACAGGTACTGACTGTTCATCATTATTACCTTAGCACAAGAGTCAGATCACTTTAGCCTGCATAGCTAGTTCCTAAAAACTTATTTTTTAATTTTATTATTAAAGTTAAATTGAAATTAACTTCTAAAATATAATGGCTATTGGTAATAACAATAGCAATAATAACAGCAATAGTAATGCTATAAAACTGAATTTATGAAACCCTTCCACATAAATTTTGTGTCTAAACATTGTGGTTTGGTTTTAGTACACTGATTCTTACCTGGATTTTCTGATCTTCAGAGTATATACTCTTGCAGATGTCCCTCAAAAAGCCTCAGAATACATGTCAATTTAACATAAAATTAAAAATAAATTTTACATCATAAAGTGATTTGGACATGTTAGGTCCATGTAGTCGAAACCAACAGTGATCTTGGTTGAACTACAGAAAGACTTGAGAATTCCTATTTTATTCCACGTTACAAAACGCAAATATTTTCTATTTCAGTTTGAAAGTGTTTTGTTGTTGTTTTCTCTTCCGGTGAGGTGTCTAGAACTGCCATGTAAATTTCCTGATTTATGATCATTGTACATGGCCAAACGAGTCTTTCTACTCTCAGATATTAGTACAGGGAATTGTATTCATGTGCTAGTGCCTGAGAGGAAAGATGAATGGATATCCATAAGCCAGTGTATCAGTTAAGGCAGTAGAGTGGAAAGGAGAATATGGGCATGTCTTCTAGAGCACCGAAGTTCAGAATCCCAGCTCAACCCCCTTTTTTTCTGAAAGGGAACAATACTGTCTTGTAACAGTGGGTTCACACTGGCAGTACACAAGAGGTCTAGAGGCAGCTTTGAAAGAAAAATATAGGTAAAGCAAATTTGCCTACATGCATTCCATGTGTCCAAAATGTGATGTTCCTTATGATGCATTACTGCAAACCCACTGTGTTGGTAATAACTGTAATGTTCTTTGAGACTGCTCGTTCACCACAGCTGGAGCAGTCAGTAGTCTCAGTGCTCATGCAGCAGAGCCCAGTTCCTTTCATCCGGTGGATTTTTGTATCTTTTGCATGTTATTTTTTGTTGTATTTGCAATTCTTTTGTTAGAGTAACGTATACTTTTACACTGAAGTTTAAAAATGAGAAGAATTCATATCTAAATGTAGCAACTCAGAATAACTTCACAAATATCAAAGTTAATAAGTAGATTGTTTTTACAAAGTAGAAGAACTATCTTTATAAAAGGTAAAGAATTGTCTTATTAAAAAGATAGGGAACTGCCTATAAAGTGACACTGTTGGACATCATGTTGGTGGCAGTTGCTGTCATGTGCCTGCTGGCAGAGCAGACCTTGTTCCACCAGCACGTCTTCATGCAGAGCAGAATGGTGCTCTGCTCTGCAAGGGTAAGGGACACAGTAACTCCTCAACTAAGGAGTCACAGAGTCATGTGTTAAAGGGTGGCTACATTTTTAAAATGCAGCTTTCTGGCCCCACTCCTAGAGATTCTAATTCATTAACTCCTCAATTTGTTCTACTGATCATCCATATTTGAGGATTACCAGCACAAGGAATTATTCCTTCTGCAGTCTCTGAGAACATCCTCGCATTATGTTAACTCACCAGCAAATTGCCTGACCCATACCTGCCCCGTACAACTTTGTATGTTACTTTTGTACTAGGAATGCTTTCACTTAACCATGATTTAACATCTTGCCCTAAGCTTTTCATTAATGGTTAAATTAAGAGCAAACACTAAGAAGACAGTTTCTTCCTTGTGTAGAACATTAAATGAAGATATTATTGCATATTAATCAATTTCTTACATGTAGAAAGATTCACTGGCTGGTTTCCTAGAGTCAGATTTTATAAGCATTCTAACTCTTAATGTTTCTTCTAGCCTCAACTACCAAAAAAGATACCAATGATACTTAGGGTAAATTTTCTAAATTTAATTCTTTTCTTTCCATGACTACCTTCCTGATTTCTAGTTCTTTACATTTGCTTTGGTGATTCCATTGTATATGTATCTTTAATCTGTTTCTTCAAAACTTTTTTTGAGAAAGAGAGAGAACATGGGAGTGGCAGAGAAAGAGAGGGAGAATGAATCTTAAGCAGGTCCATGCAACGTGGAGCCTGACGTGGGGCTCAATCCCACGACTGTGAGATTATGACCTGAGCCAAAATCAAGAGTCCTTCACTTAACTGACTGAGCCATCTAGGTGCCCCTGTTTCCTCAAAACTTTTCTACAAATAATAGATAGTTGATAAAAAAAAAAAAAAAAAAGATTAATGAAAAAGTTTCCCCTGCATCTGCCAGAAAGATTCTGGGTCATTATAATTCATTGTACAAGAGCAGAAACTGCTGTAATATAATTGGAGCGTGTCTGCAGTTTGTGTTTTCTGCCTTGTAGCAGCTTTATAGGTTTGGATGAAGACAAATTTTTCCAAATAAGATCAAAATGTGTATGCATGTGTGTGCGCACACGTGTACCTGGTGTATGTATGATTATCTACCTCTGACAGTGAAACTATCTCATCATCTTTTTAGGTCCTCTATGGCAACAAGCAGTCAGACTTAAATTTGGGTACCTTGTATACAAGGGCACTAAAATGCTTGCCTGAAGTCAGTATTAGGCAAAGAGCTAACATTTTTGAGAATTTGCAGGGTATTATCTAAATATTAAGGAGACCTCATCATTTATTTACTTGTTCTTTCAATCAAGAAAGATTTATTAAATGTTTTGTGAGGCATGTCAGGACTACTGTTTCTACTTCTAAGTTGCTTACAGTGTGCTAGAAGAGATGTAACTCTGTAACACAAGACATGATATTTATTGCTTGTATTCCTCAAAAGGTGGGGGGAGGAGAGCAGAGAATAATTTTGGAAAGCCCAGGGCTGTGGGTGTTCAGCTGAATTGCTCAGGGTATTATGCACAAGAGGCCAGAGGTGAGAGTCTCACCCTCTGTGGACAGGGAGTAGAAACTGAAAGAACATCCAAATGTAGGCGTTTTTATGTGTCCAAGTGAAGACATTTTAGAACTGGACTCCCCCATTTGAATTAGAGCTTTATTTTCTACTAGATAGATGCCAAGTAAAATCCATATATAATTAGCTGTAATAAACTTCTTGAAGCACAGAAAGTAGACAAAAATTAACAAAAAACATGTGCTGATTTGTCACAAAGATAAAGAGGGAAGATTTGGAAAATTCTTATACATACTTTCTCAAAAGTCCCTGAACTATTCAACTGCAGGGTTTGATACACTTTTTAATGTTGCACATGCTTCTATGATCACAGCATCTTGTTGTCTAGTGTCTTTTTTCCACAGTGTTTCAAAATCTGCATCTCTTCTCAAAATTTGACACTCATAACTCAATTATGTGTGAATTTCTGGCATTGTCTTTTAACTTGGTCAAACAATAGTTTTCTGAGTTACTTATTACTTCTACCAGAAAACTAAATAAGTAGTATTAGGCAAAAAATGGGAAGGAAGTGGCCTTTAATGGTTATGCTTCAAATATATCACTAATTGGGAAATTTATCTTTAACGTATCTTCATGTATATCTAAATTTGATTTCCAGTTGATGCATCACAGCATTTCTTCCATTCCTTCTAAAATTTATGGAGCACCTATAGAGTGAAAGTTCTAGACCCTGTAGGGCTTGGAGAAACTCGCTGTAGAAAAATCAAGGCCCTTTCTTTCTTATGAGCCTGTGACTTATAGAAGATAGTCAGACACATAAATTGTGATATGGTGTTATTAAGTCTTATCTGCAAAGTAGAGGGAGGACATGGAGGTAGAGACAGCTAACTCTGTTGAGGGTGATATTAACACATCTGTCAGAGGAATGGACATTGGAATTAAATTTTGAACAATGGGTTCTCCAGGCCAGCCTTTCTCAAATTGATTTCCATTGTAATAAAAATGTCAGGGGCGCCTGGGTGGCGCAGTTGGTTAAGCGTCCGACTTCAGCCAGGTCACGATCTCGTGGTCCGGGAGTTCGAGCCCCGCGTCAGGCTCTGGGCTGATGGCTCAGAGCCTGGAGCCTGTTTCTGATTCTGTGTCTCCCTCTCTCTCTGCCCCTCCCCCGTTCATGCTCTGTCTCTCTCTGTCCCAAAAATAAATATTGAAAAAAAAATATCATATGTCATTGTCATTTATCAATTCTATATGATACACTTGTGTGGGCACAATAAGATTTTGGTAAAAACATAACATTTTATAGGGATGTAAGGCATTAATGCCCTAGGAACTTTTTCTTTTATTGCTACTTACAGAAGATTTTGTAAGTATGCGATTAATGAAATTATAAATCTAAAATTAAGCCATTATAATTGGCTAATGAATTAGAAATAAATACGGTTACTTTATTTTTCTCAGTATTTGACTTTGTTTTCTTAATGAGCCTGATTTTTCTCGATGAGTAATCTTAGCAAGGCAATTATATATAGTTAGTTATGATTAACGCCATGTACTGGGTCATTGAATTCTCTCAACAATATTTTATATAGTTACTATTTTTTCTATGTTGCATATTAGGTAACTGAGGTTTAGAGAAGTTAAGTAATTTTCCCAGTATCACTCGGCTAATAAAATGGTTGGGACTCTTATCCATGCAGATAGGAACCAGGACTCATGCTCTTAAGTACTGTGGTATACAATTACAACACTTGTATGAGCAGAGACTAGATGGATAGAAGTGAGGGAATATCTAGATGGATTGACAGTGAACTCCTTAGAGGAACTGGGTGGGCCAGCCAAGAAAAGCTGGGGAGAAGATGGACTTTTAAAAAATGTTCTAGGGGCACCTGGGTGGCTTAGTCGATTGAGCACCTGACTGTGGCTCAGGTCATGATCTCACGGTTCCTGAGTTCGAGCCCCACACCAGGCTCTCTGCTATCAGCACAGAGCTTTTTTTGGATCCTCTGCCTCTCTTCTGCTCGTTCTCTCTCTCTCTTAAAGTAAATAAATGAACTTAAACATTTTATACCTTTTCTGCTACTTCAATTAAAATAACTTTCATAACAATGAAATACATAACAATACTTTCATAACAATGAAAGTGATATAAATGAAAAAATTAGTCATAGAATTTAAAAACTTTAGCATGTTTTTTTCATTATTGCCATAAATTTTACCCAGGTCATAGGAACTAATGTGTCTTAATTGGCCACAGTGTTGTTAGCATCTTTTTCCTATGTATGCTTCTTCACTCATCCATGCCTTTGTTCTCATTTACCTGTGTCGATAATTTGTAGAAGTAGAAGACTAGTGCAGCGATAAAATCACTGCTCACTGCTGGGCATGACGAACCCAAGACGGGGCATGGGTTATGCACCCTTCCCCATGTGTCAGCTGTGACCCCCACCTCTGTGACCCACTCACCACACATGTTGAATGTCACTTAGTGAGACACATTAGGACAGGGCTAACCTTGAATTTTATCCATTTGTATTTTAGGGAAGTAGGCACAAACTCACATGTCTTATTAATAATAGCAAATAATTTACAACACATCTTACCGCTGACGCAGACATACCACTGTGTGCTGCTAAACCTGTCTTTTGCACACAACAGCTCCAGGCCAAGAAGAGGGAGAGATGGATTCCAGGCTAATGGAACAAAATGTGCAAAGATGTGGAGGTGTATAAAGCACGTGGTATATTCCAGGAAAGCAAGAAGCTTGTGTGGCAGAAACTTCCCCTGAAAGGGGTGGCAGGGGTGAGGAAATGTAGAGATTAGACTTGAAAGGTATATTCAGGCTCAACTCCAGAGGGCCTGGAAGGGCAAGAGGGTCACTGGCTGTGTGACCTGGGGCATAGTGGATGAGCCTCAGTTTTTTTTAGCCTTAGAATGCAGAAAACAGTTTCTTCTCCACAAGGTTGTATTAAATAAGAAATGTGTGTGAAGGGCCTGGCACAGAGCTAGCTGCACACAGCAATTGCTTGCAGCAACCCATCTCACTTTTTTTTACCCTTCCTGTTCCCACACAGATAAAGGAATGTGGACTTTAACACATAGTAGAAAGTCTCCACGATTTTTAGGGAGAACTGCCCCATACGTGATCAGAACAGTTAGCTTTATTTCAGAGAGTGCCCTGGCAGCAATATGCCAGGATAGTTTGGAGAAAGGCAAGATTGGAGGGGTCAATATAATGAATCATTTAATCTCAGTAAATTTTGCTTAGTAGATTACTTCTTAGGTCCTTAAGATTTTAAATATTCTTAATATGGAATTGACTTTTGTGGAACCTAAGTTCATCTTTTTATTGCTTCCCAGGGACTACAGATACATAATCTTGATCACATATTTTCCCTTTTGTCATTTTGTCTGATAGCTGGTTCCTTATATCTACTGTTGCTACGTTCATGTGCATTCTTCCTTGAAATACCACTTTAGGTTTAATCTGTGTTTACCTAAAGGTTTCAAAGAGGAGCTTCTGTTGCATCATCATCCTAGGAATTCTTTTACTTTTGCATCATGGGATTCACTTGACCCTGAAAGTCTAGGCTAAACAAGAAAGTATTTTCCCTGTAGTACATCCTTTTTAGTTTATCAAAGCATCATGTGTATGGACCTACAATCAAATATTGGCTGTTTCATTTACAACTTATGTGACTTTAGGCAAGTCCCTATCTAAGCCTCAGTTTCCTAGTCTATAAAATGGAGAGAATAGTACCTGCCTAAGGACACAACAGTTACTGAGAGGATTAAATGAGATATGTATAGTGCTTGGCTCATAGAAAATACCTGTATTTTAATTTATTTTCTGAGTCCCTTAAAGTAGAACTTTCCCACCCAAAACATTTTCTGTAATTTTTTTTTTTCTTTTAGGCAGCAGATTGTCCTGGGAAGCTGTTCATCTTCCATTCCTCCTTACCCACTGCAGAGGCACCAGGGAAGCTCAAAAACAGAGATGACAAAAAACTGATTAATACGGACAAAGAGAAGGTATTTGTAAACAATGGCTCTTTGAAGTATCCATATGTCAGTTTGTAAAGGGGAGTAAAGAAAGAGGGAATGTGTCCTTTGAGTAAGAAAGGGAGAGAAGCTAAATGTAATGTATAAATCTGGGACATTGTATATTAACGAGAATATTTTGAATTGCAAATAATTTAAGATATTTTATATTCCTAGAGAAACCAATGTCTGAAATAAACTTAAAATAAGGCCTCAAACTTTTCATGTATAAACTGTGTATGAGACTGGGATAATACAAATGGGAGAAATGGGGGGAAATGCAGGAAGAAGATAAAGGTAGAAGGAGAATGTAGCTGGGACCATATAATAGCACTCCTGAGACAGGAAATAGAGGTGCCTGATGCTCACAGTGTGCTTTGCTCAAACCCTCTGACATAATCACCATGGGGTGGGGGGTAGACAAATCAATGGGAAGGATAAGACCAGGATATAGGCATCCAGCTACTGGCCACATAACACCAGACAGGTTGTTTCATCTAGGTCTGTAAAGGTAAGACAGCAATATCCGTTTCATTAGCATTGTCGGAGGATCAAATAAAATTGCGTGCATGTGCGCGCGCGCGCGCGCGCGCGCGCGCGCACACACACACACACACACACACACACACACACACACACACACACATTTCACACAACATGAGCCTGGCACACACTGGGTGCTCAATAAATGGCTGCTGCACTGATGATTACCGTAATTCATTCCTTCAGCCCAGTTCACTTGACTGGAAAAAAATTTTCTTTCATTTTAAAACAATTCAACAGAAATAAAAAATTGAAACCAAAAACATTTTGTGGTTTTCTTTTTCCCTTTGTGCATCTTTTTCTTCAGATACTTTTCCAGCCCCAAACAAATGTCTACGACGCACTGGCCAAGGACTGTGTGGCTCATGGCTGCTGTGTGACCCTCTTCCTCTTTCCCAGTCAGTATGTGGATGTAGCCTCTTTGGGTCTCGTGCCTCACCTCACTGGAGGAACCCTTTACAAATACAACAATTTCCAGGTAAAAGCCAGCAACACTTTCACCTCAGGTTTTTGTACTGCCATTTAACTTTTGGTGCTTAAATCATAAGAACGCTGTGCCCCCTTGTGGGTAACTGACAAATGTAAATCTAGAGCTAGTGGAGACAATGTATATGTGATTAGGCAATTGCTTTCTTACTCCCTAAGTGTTTGGGAACAGATTGAGCTCATTTAGTCTCAGAGGTGAATTTCAGTGTAAGCTTCCATGATGAGGAAACATATATTCTATATAAAAAGTTTAGTGTTTTAAATATATTTAAGATAATTGTTTTTAATTTTTTTTTAACATTCATTTTTGAAAGGCAGAGAGAGAGCGTGAATGGGGGAGGGGCAGAGAGAGAGGGAGACACAGAAACAGAAACAGGCTCCAGGCTCCGAGCTGTCAGCACAAATCCCAATGTGGGGCTTGAGCTCACGGACTGTGAGATCATGACCTGAGCTGAAGTCGGCCACTCAACTGACTGAGCCACCCAGGCGCCCCTGAGATAATTGTTTTTAAAAGTGACTGTGTATTTGTTTTAAATTGTTACAGTTTTGGGGTCAGTTCATTATACCTCTCTTCCAACCCTGGATTGAGAGAGTCATGAGATAGGAAAAATGTCAGCACTGTACAGACATATGTCTGAGGGCAAGTGGGCTTGCTAATGCTTTACCTTTCAATGTGACAAACCTGTATACCCAGGCACAAGGTGGGCATATTACAAGCTTCTCCTGTGGACAACTGTACCTTCAAAACTTAGCAAATTGAAAGGTAATAAATGTGTGCCTCCTGCAGGCAGGCTGCCTCCTCAGAAAGAAGATACAGAGTAGACTGAGCTATGTCCACCCAGTTCCTTTACTCAAACTTACTAATCAGATAAATCACCTGCCCTCACCTGAGAGGAAGGGGTCAGGGGAATGCCTCTAACTTACGTACCTATACATGGAAACATGGAGTGAGAATAAGTGTTCCCCCAACATAAATGATAAATGTTAATCATCATCTGTTTTTATTTATCATCATTAAAATTATTTTTAATCACCTAGTTACAGATTTATACGGTAAACTAATTAAGGGATTTGTTAAGGCCAAAGATTGCAAATGAAATAAAATTGAAAAAGTTTTAAGAACCCTTTTTAAGACTTCTGGATAAGAGTTTTAATCAAGATTTAAAAAAATAAGGATTGTTATTTTAAATGTTTTGCTGCCATCTGGTGGGGATTGATGCTACTTTATTTTTTAGATGCATATGGATAGCCAACAATTTTTGAATGACCTCAGAAATGATATTGAAAAGAAAATAGGATTCGATGCTATTATGAGGGTTCGTACCAGCACAGGTAATTTTCAATTATACTGTTTTTCAGGTCTCCATTGGTAATTGTTTCCTATTCAAATTAATAACAGGCCAACAGAGAAAATAACAATAAATTAAATAGAAGAAAAATTCCCTTTTTCCTCATCATTAGGTTTCAGAGCCACTGATTTCTTTGGTGGAATTTTTATGAACAACACCACTGATGTAGAAATGGCAGCCATTGATTGTGATAAGGCAGTGACTGTGGAGTTCAAGCATGATGACAAACTTGGTGAAGACAGTGGAGCCTTAATCCAGGTGATTTAAAGCTTATTCCCATCTTTTGTGTTTTAGTTTGTTACAGCGATCACTGGGCAGACTAAAATACCATCAACTATGTCAGTCTTTCTGTAAAGAAGTTGAACTCTATTTCTCCAAAGACAAAAGTCATTAGATTATAGCACTCCATTGTGTATTCTCCAGAGCCTGATTTATATGTGCTGCTTGCATGAAGTAATAATTGTAAGTCCTCACATGAGAGCCCAGCAAACTGTGGTCAGTATTGTAAGCATTAGCGAACTGACTGCCAGCAGAGTTCAATTCTTTAAGGCTTTAGAACCCATTCATTCATTTGTTGCATTCCTACCAAATGTTAGACGCCATGTTAAGTACATTATTATGTTATATGCAGCTATAAATAGAATTTGGTTTTGTAGTAAATAAAATTAAGTCGAAGCCATGGAGATTTTGAATTAAGAACAATTATATCGAATGGTTATAGTTTTCAGATACTGTCATCACCCTTAAATAATAAAGAGGGTTTGTCATTAAGTTGAGGAGGAACTCTAATATTTATTTTTGATCACAGACATTTGAAGAAGTGGATACTTGTTTGCATTCTTGAAATATATATGTCATCAGCATAAGACTTAAGTACATCATCAAAGTTAGATGTTTGTTTTTGAACATGAAAAGTATTATTTTTGGACCTGAACCCCTGGTAATAAAATCTGAGATATGTGAAAGTACACTAATATGCGTGAAAGCCCAGAGTTACATATGCGTGAAAGCCCAGTTAAAATTTAAGTTTAAACCAGTGAAATGCTACATAGACGCTCAATGTATGAATTGTCATTATTCCTCCTTTATTTGTTGTTATTCAGTCATTAGCAACAATATACAAAAAAAAGTCTGTGGAGGGGTTTAGAGGTCTTTGACCCATATATAGTGCTCTGTAAATGTAAGATCAGACTAGCGTGGGTGGACATGGCTGAGCATAAAAGCATGTGTCCTTGATGTCGCCTCTGCAGTGTGCTGTGCTTTACACAACCGTCGGAGGTCAGAGAAGACTGCGGATTCACAATCTTGGCTTGAACTGCAGCTCCCAGTTGGCTGATCTCTATAAGAGCTGTGAGACAGATGCCCTTATCAACTTCTTCGCCAAGTCAGGTAACACTCCACTAATCCTGTGCTGCTGTGTATCTTGCCTAAGAATTCAGTGAGACTTGTTGGTTAATTGAATTAGTAACTGACAACTATTGTGGAAGCACAGCCTTTTGGTGGGCAAATCCAGAATTTATAAAAACAGAGTGTCAAGGAGAATACTCAGCATCTCCAATTCCAGATTAATAATGAGAGATCTCCGTCAGGCCCACACTATACAGTTCTATTCAAAGTTTCCTTCTTGGGGGCATGGGGGCATTCTGAGTTGAAATTTAGGAAGGTGATACTTAGACTCTTATTATGGTATATGAGTATGCCCTCTGGCACCTGGGGCTAATGGAAGGAGACTGTCCCTGATGTTAGGCTGAACTTGCTTATCCACACCATGATAATTATGAAATTCCACGGGTCTGAGTTGGCCCCTCTTTGGTTCCTTCTCCCCTTCATAACCCCTGTTTGAGATTCTACACCAAGGTTTAGAAGAAACAACAGTCCAGTCAGTAGGAATTCAGGACATCAGAAGATGGCACGGTGGTCTTTCTTTTCTGTGTGTGTAGAGTTCTGTTTATAATATTCTGTGGAAAAAGTCTGGACTAATGACCTACCTTTTGTTAGAGGTTGGCCGTTGTTCTCCATTGGGTATGTTGTCATACTTAGTAAAATGGAGAATATTAGCAGATGACTTTAACCTTTTAAACACTGTTATTCCTTGTTGGATGGTCTGAAGATAAGAGCATTTTTTTTATTGTTATTATTATTACCATTTGAAGGGACTGATTTCTGAGCCAGAGCTTTCATGCTCTTTTCATTGTTTTATGCAACTAGCATTCAAAGCAGTTCTATACCAGCCCTTGAAGGTCATCCGGGAAATTCTGGTTAATCAGACTGCCCACATGTTGGCATGTTACCGGAAGAATTGTGCAAGTCCATCTGCAGCAAGCCAGGTAAGCCACCTGTTGTACTTAGATTCTAAAGCGTTACAAGTGATTACATGTTCTTTCAGCATTTAGCTCCCGAAGGCTTATGCTGTTCCAGGCACTTGGATGCTATACGTAGTAAACTGTACAACTAAGAAGACTGAGTCTGCTATTTGGAGAGGCTATGGTCTTTTCATAGCCAACATTAAAAAACTCAGTGGCTTTACAAGATGCATGAACCAAAAAATATGTGTGCATTTTGGGTTGACAGTCACTACGTTATATATAAATAACAGAATGTTATATGTAAGAAATCTCATAATATAAATGGGATTCTCTTTTGCTTATAAAGAGGGATATTTAGTTGAGAAATATGTATGCATAAATATATTTTGGCATATTAACAATCATAGTTGACATGAGCAAATGGCAGGAAGGACCTCTTTATATTTTATAAACATGAATATAAGTTATAAATATTAGAATTTTTTATATTTAAAGGTTAATAATAGGTATGAAGAGTTTTAAAGGAAATGTCTCTGGGTACCATCTACTAATATGAAAATTTTAGAAGATCCTTTACATAAATCTCATTTAGACTCTTTCCTGTAAAAGAAAAAGCAGAACCTCATGTTCCCATTTATTTTTGCATCTGTTCTCTTATTCACATTTTTCCCTATGTCAGTCAAAGCTAGATGCCACTTTTCATAATTTTATGTTGAATATCCGAATATAGAATTTGGATTGAAAGAGAAGACAGGGAGCAACAGATGGGGAAACTTTCTGGTTAGCTCATTGTCAAAAGTGGGTGCTGAGAGGACATCTGAAACCCCACTCAAAAGTAAGCCCTTAGCAACAGAGATCATGTAGATAAAATTGGGGGCCAACTTTCATAAGCTTGGTAAAGAAGGAAAATAAAACACAGTTATTATCTTGGACCTTTCACAAAAATTCCTTTCTGTGCTGTTCTGAGTGATTAAATTAGCCATCTCTTCTTCTGTCTCCTGGTGTTGACAGTGCATAAGCAACTCTTGAATCTATATGTGAGTGTCGATCTTGTTTATTATCCAGGAGATTTGGAACTTTAGTAACTAAACTCCAATACCAGTACTATTTCACAGTGTACTTGTTCAATTTATACAGAGCCCACCAGATGTACCTGGATACAGTCCAATCATGAGCACTTTACACCCCCGGTTTTACTATTTGTTTTATGGCTCTGGAAACATTAGTTTGTCTCTGGAGTGTCTCACACTTCAGAAGGATTAGTTGAAGGAGAACAGGTACAGTTAGTGTCCTCAGAAAGTTTATTTGCTAACGTTAAAGCAATTGGATTCAAAGACCTTAAGTTAAAAACAAATCTGTTGCCTATTTAAGAAAAGAAATGAAATCTGTCCATTCCTTCTGATTTAAAAGTTAAAAGCTTTGTCTCTACTACTAGATCGTCTGTTCATGAAGTTTAGTTATTTCTGCAGGAAAAATATTATGATGCCAAATTGTCTCTGAAAAAGTTGATAGAGATTATTTTTCTTATGATGAGATTTTACTTTCTCCATGAGCACATGTAAAAGGCACATTTCAACCAATGATGTGCTTTAAGAAATGACATAATTTAGATATGATTATCCAGCTTGGAGTGGGGAAAATGTAGGGCTTATAAAACTTAGTAACAATAGTATATTAAAATATAGCATTATTTTAAATACATGAAATGGCTGGACTTGGGGTTCTCTTCAGAGAATGTAACTTCAAATGTGCTGCCCTTCCAGAGTTCATTTGTAAGAAATAATATCTGGGGAGAAATTCCTAAGGAATTCCACTCCTTTACTGTAGAGTCCAAAGTTTCTTTGATCCAAGCAGGACTATTAGGGATCTGGATACTTGAATTATATGACACTGGATCTCAGAAGATCTGCTTTTACTGAATCTCCAGGGCCAGGACTAGCTTGAGGCAAGAGAGGCACTTAGTGTGCAAAGTTTAAGGAGGCCCCTACTCTGGAGGTCATATTATAGATGCTGGTCTAACACCTATAACTACAAACAACAATAAAGCAATTTGTTAAGCTTACATAAGCAAGGTAGATTCTTAAATCTAATAACTCACTGTTCTGAACTTAAGTATGTTACATCATATGGGAGTACAGTGACTTCAAAAGGAAAGTCAAATGGACTTAACTGCAATGTAATAATTTTTTTTTAATTCACTACTACTTCTGTCATTTCAAAACTACAGAAGAATTCTCCAAATTCAAGCAAACTGGACTTATGTGAATTTTTTTTTAAGTTTATTTGTTTATTTTGAGAGAGAGAGTGTGGGGGTGGGGCAGAGAGAGAATGAGGGAGAGGGAATGAATCCCAAGCAGGCTCTGACCTCTCAGCTCAGAGCCCCATGTGGGGCTCGAATTCACAAACTGTGAGATCATGACTTGAGCCAAAATCAAGAGTCAGATGTTCAACCAACTGATCCACCCAGGCACTCCTCGTTTTCACTCCTTCCTCATCTGTACTTTTTTTCCCCAAGAATAGTGTCCATCTGTTGCCACATTTTCTTCCCCACTATCTCCTTGTTTTCTTTCACCCTAATTCCATTCTTCTATATCAATTTTCCTCCTTATTTACCTCCTCAGTTTTCTTCTTTCTACCCCTTCTCATCCAGGCTCCTCTGATCAGACTTTTAGTCCTTTAGGGTCATCATGGGCCAGGCTCATCCCTTGGTGGCATTTAGGTCAACAGATTTCTAAACTGTCTTAATATGGCCTGCTTAATGAGAAACAACCAGTGAAATTACAAGATAATATTTGAAAAACCATGTGTTTTTCTAAGAATATTCTTAATCCATAATATGTAAGGCCGGATGGCTCTGGGATATGATTATGATCTGGTTCCTACATATTTGATCATATTTTTCCTTGGTTGAAAAAGTGGTAGCAAGTGTTGTCAAATAAAAATCTTTTATGCTAGAGAAAAAAAAAATTAGAAGAAGAGTATGAGGAAACATGCATTTAACTGTCTTTGATTCTCTGAAGAGATTAGAAGAGGAGGAACAAACTGCAAAGTAGAATTGTCCTGAAATGTTTTACTAAACCAGTTGGAAAACTGTCTTACACATTCCTTACTTAGTAGATCATGAGAAGAAACTTAGGATGTAAAGGTTTAAGTTGAGGAGTAAATCCTAACAGAGCCCCAAAGGAAATTTTCTTTTCAGGGTGGATTCTGATAAGTGTATATTCTTTTTCATCATTAAGATAGAACACTAAAAAATAAATTGTGAATTTATGGACCAGATATTTCTATTTGTGAATTGTCATTATCTCCCTATGTTTTCCTTTTCTTTTGAGAATATCCTTTCCATTGACCAACTGTTAAATAGAAGGAAGTGACACTCAGATCAATCTTGATTCTTACCTATTTTTATAAAATTGAGTTGAGAGAAGGTTAAACAACACAGACAGATTATTTGTAATTTTTTTACCCATCAAGTTATGTTTCTACAAGTGCTGCATTATGTTGTTATTTGCAGCATCACATTACAATATGTATTTTGAAGTAGAATGAGGTCACATAAGCTAAAGTGGGGATGGAGAGGAGGGTACAGGTGGATTATAAAGACAAAATTAAAATAATTCATTTACTAATTGAAGGTAAAGAAAAAATGAAATTAGGGTTCATCTGGTAGTTAAGTATCTCAAATAGGAAACGTAAGAGGAAGAACATGTTTGTGGAATTGTGGGAGTTTGATTTTGCTTGTTACCATTCAGTAGTGACATACCTAAATCCAGGAAGCATTTCCTATTTTAGTTTGTATCTGTAGTATTGCAATCTTCTTGTTAGGTTTTATCTATTTATATGTCTGTCATCTTTATTGGACTTCAGGCATCTTGTCACGTAGACTATCCCTCGTTCCTCTGAATATTGTTGACACTTTGCTCTATAGACGCGTGACACAGTGGCATTCAATAAGTGTTTGATGAGTTTATGACTGTGTGAGTTTAAGATGCATGAAGAGCATAAAGGAAGAGATATCTCACAGGCAGTCGAAAAAAACACTGTTTTTGAACTGAAGAGGTAGAAGGTGGTAAAATTGATTAGGAATCATTTATTTAACTTTATCTAATAAACGTGTGTGATACTATATGCTAAGTACCATTACATGTGCTTCACAAATTAATAATCATTTAATCCCATGATCATGCTGTTGATCATGGCTATTCCATTTTTAGATGAGAAAACCTGGGAAAAGAGAATGATTTGCCCAGGGTCACACATCTGGTAAAAGGCAGAATCGAGATTGCATTCTAGGCAGAGTGTGCTGACAGCCACCATGCCAAGCTGCCAAAGTGCTAGATAAAACTAAGTGCCATTCTGTGAGTACCTACTGTGTGCCAGTTTATATGGTCCAGGTGCTTTGTATGGTCTATCATTTAATCCTCAAAATCACCTCAAAAACAATTGATGTTTCTGTCTTAAGGATAAAAGCTCAGGGGTTCTTTCTCATAAAGGTCAAGCACATGAAACAAATGACTTTCTTTTTCAGCTTATTTTACCAGATTCCATGAAAGTATTACCAGTGTACATGAACTGTTTGTTAAAAAACTGTGTGCTGCTTAGCAGACCAGAGATCTCAACAGATGAGCGGGCGTACCAGAGGCAGCTGGTCATGACCATGGGTGTGGCCGACTCTCAGCTTTTCTTCTACCCACAGCTTTTGCCAATCGTAAGTACACTGTGGTGGTGCATTTCCTAGAGGAGTCTGGAAGGGAATCGTATTTTGTCCTTTCCATATGTTATGTCTGGAATATTTTCTTAAGAAGAAGTTTAAAGTCACAAATGCCTTCAGAATGTGTATGTGGGCTCTTTGAGCAAGTTGTGTACATGCGTCAACATGTGCTCAGTATGGTGATGGTGATGGTGATGGTGATGGGGGATTTGAGGTGTTCCTACTTCAGTGAATTGCTCAGATGATTGCTTTTCTTTTTCTCATTCCCACATTGGCAGATTGAAAAGTCAATAACAAGTTGGAGCAAGCCCAGCTTCAATTGTTCAAGAAATCTACCTTACAGCATTAAAGGCAACTGATTTGTATCTGTGTATGGGCTCTCATGTGCACACATGTATTTGTTTCTATACAATGTATGAATGTCTAAGAGTCACAACATTTCATTAGAATGGCTATGATTAGCCTTGACCAAATACAATTAAGGATTTACAAATCAGCATATATTTGAGGGCACCTGCATTGTATAAGGGACCAACTTCACTTGCCCTCAGAGAATTTACTTTGCAATGTATTCTACTTATTTGAAGTCAGTCATTAATGTCTTGAATGCCCCTGTAATCTAGACTAAGCCCTTTCCCCTTGAGACCTAACAAGTTCAATTTATAATTGAGAGATAAAAGAGAGGAAGACTGATGGCTTATTTCAAATTCTTATATTGAAACTCGTATTCAGGCTCTCAGTAACAATGCAGTCAGTATTAGAAAGACTTAAATTAGGTTGGAAATTGAGAGCTATAATTCTTTCAATCAATATGAATGTTAGGTATAAATTATTACAAAATGATTGATTTTCAGATAAAGTTGGATTGGCAACAATCTGTATGCCAGAGAAACTAGAACTCTGAGGGATAAGAACATCACATCTCCAATAAAATCCTCTTACCAAGGTCACCAGTGGCTGACGTTGCTAAATCCAAAGGGCGGTTCTCAGTCCTTCTCTCTTCTTATTGTCAGCAGCATCTGACACAGTTTATTTCTCTCTCCAGAAACACTTTCTTCACCTAGCTTCTCTGCTTACCTGGCCACTTCTCCTTTCTGCCTTTGCTAGCTTGTCCTCTTCTTTCTGTCAGGCTACCCTGGGGTTCAGTCCTTGGGAAGCTTCTCTTGTCTATCTACGCTCAATCCCGTGTAGGCCTCATCTGACCTTTCAATGCTGTTTATATACTAATGATACCCATGTTTATATGTCCATCCATACCATATGGGTCCTGAACTCTAGATGTGTCTATCCTGTAGCCTATTGAGCATCTCTCTGTGGGTGTGCAATGGGCATCTTAAACCAAGCCCTGATTGCGTCTCCAAGCCTGCTCTCTGGCAGTCTTCTCCATCCCCATTTACCACTACTCTCTCATGCCAATTCTTTAGGCCAAAACTTGCAGTCGGTCACTCTTGACTGCTTTCATTCCCTCATCCATCACATCTCATTTACCAGCAAACATGTCAGTTCTCCTTTCTAAGAATATTCAGATTCTGACCACTTTCTCTCCACCTCATCTGTCATACCCAGGTTCAAGCACAATCATCTCTCCCATGGACTGCTGCAGTACTCTCCTAACAAGCCTTTATGTGTGCACCTTTGCTTCTTCAGTCTGTGTTTGGCGTAAAAGTTAGAGTGATTCTCTTAAAATAACTGGCCATCCCTCCACTACTCAGAACACTCTGGATTTCCCAGTTCAGTAAACACCAAATCTCCTACTGCCTTTGCCAAGTGTCATCTATACTATCTTCCCCTCCTTTCTATCTGACCTCATCTTTTGATCCTGAAACATCGGAGACAGACTCTTGCTTTGGACCTTTGCACCACCTGTCCCCTCCATCTGGAATGCTCTTCCTCAGTTATCCCTATGGCTCCTTCTCTCACCTCTTTAGGTCTACTCAAAAAAGTTACCTTCCCAACAAGCCTTCTTGGATTACCCTATTTAAAATTGTAACCACCAGCACCAGCACTGACATGCCCTATCCCACTTTCCTGCTTCTTTTTTTCACAGCACTTAAAACCACTTAAAATTCGATGTATTTTACTTCTCTTATTTGTTGCTTTTTATTTCTTCCAAAAAAAAAATTATTAACTGTTCAAGGCAGCTTAAACAGTGACTGTCTAATAGCTAGAATAATGCCTGGCACATGGTGGGCATTTCTTAAATATGCCCTGGATGGAAAGAAGGGAGGAGGGAGGTGAAAGGAAAAGGGGGAGAGGGGAAGAAAGGAAGGGAAGGAGAACACACTTACTAACTCTCTTGCCTTTGCCTGCACAGCACACGTTAGATATCAAGAGTACTACACTACCTGCTGCTATTCGTTGCTCTGAGGCCCGTCTTTCAGAAGAAGGGATATTCTTATTGGCTAATGGTCTAAACATGTTCTTATGGTTAGGAGTTAGTAGCCCACCAGAACTGATCCAAGGAATATTTAACGTGCCATCGTCTGCACATGTGAACACAGATATGGTAAGTATTTTTTTTTCATTATTTTTGTGGTAACACACAAACTCTTGAATGTTTTGTGCTCATGTGCAACCATATAATACAAAGTAGAAGAAACGATAATAGCATGCAGTTCTTTATAAGAAAGAGAATTTCATGTTTTAATGAATAACAATGAGCTGGTATAAAGTTATTTGTATAAAGTATTATCAAATAACCAAAATATATGACTTTAAATAGGGATTGCCAGAACTTCCAGATCATTTGCTATGTGTTAGTCACTGTGCTCTAAATACTTTAAATACACCATTGCATTTAATTCTGTCACAAATCAGTGAGACAGACATCATCATCAACATTTTGTACATGAATTGATTGAGCTTTGGAGACAAGTTCTTTCAGGTAGCAAGTGGCAGAGGTAGAGAGCGAATTCAGTTCTTACACTCGGTACTCTTCTCTGGTGTTGAACTCAGTATTCAAAAGAAAGCAGAAAAAAAAAAAAAAAAAAAAAAAAAAAAAAAAAAAAAAAAAAAGAAAGCAGAAATCTTGCATCCATATTTAGCTACAGAATAAAACTGTGTCAGAATAATGAGTTGCAAAATAACAATCTCACAAAAACAGGTTTTATTCCCCTTTGTTTTAAATAAGTTATATACTCCACTCATTACAAAAGAGATTGTGGATTTGTTGTAAAATGAATACAAATGACTTTATTTTTAAAGTATCCTAGGAAAAACCAGCAGTTGTAATTTGTTTGAGAGTATTTATTGCAAATCTTATTTGTAGACCATTGTTGCATGAGCACCATTGCTATGAAGGTTATTGTCTTATTGTACTTCATGGTGCATTTCTTACGAATTCACATGTAGAACTCAGCAGATAGTTTGTTCCCTGAGGCCTCACTTGTATGATGGCAAGATGAATTAAGTCTAGTTAATTCCCCAATTTCTGTTATGAAGGTAAATACATAATATCCTGGAGGAACGAGCAGGATCAAAATTCCACCTCTGTAGGTGGTCAGCTTAGGGAGCTGCATATCTGTTATGAATGTCAAAAATATATTTTGGGGACGCCTGGGTGGCTTAGTTGGTTAAGCATCTGACTCGTGACTTCAGGTCACGTCATGATCTCACTGTTGTGATCTTGAGTCTTGAGTTGGGTTCCGTACCGGATGTGGAGCCTGCTTAAGATTCTCTCTTTACTTCTCCCTCTGCCCTTCTCCCCCCACACACACTTTCACTCTCTCCCTCTCAAAAAAAAAAAAAAAATATATATATATGTGTGTGTGTGTGTGTGGGTGGGTGTGTGTGTACATGTATATATATATGTGTGTGTGTGTACATATATATATTTATATTTTAAAAGAATTAAAGGTGTCCATATCCCATTAAGAGACTATTTCTAAAGACTTAGAAATAGTAAGATCTTTGCATGTGGTTAAAATTAAGGAATGATTAGAAATGCAATTTTTAAAAAATAAAAAAGTTCAAGTTCAATAGACAAAGGACTGTGAATCTGAAGAATGTTTATATAAAATTTAAGGAAGCCTCCTCATCTGTCACAATGTATTGTTAGAGTAAGTGTTAAATGTGTATTTGCTGAATTTGCTGAATGTACATATGAAATCACCAGTCTCTCTACCACAGAGCAGCAGATTAGTAGGTTTGTGCTTATACCAGTGTGCCTCCTTTGACCTTCTTCAAAAAAATAAAACAAAAGAAAAAGCAAATGTCACTTTGATTTTAGAGACAGTTGGCACTTCGAAATATGTATGTGACGTATACTTATGTTGTTTGTTACATAAAAAGATCTACCTTAATGTAAAAAAATACACATAGGGGATGGAATGTAAATATAAATAATGAATTTTCTGCCTTTTTCTTTCTTTCTTTTTTTTACAATTCCTGTGAAAAATACCGTCCTTGATCTTTTCCTGAGGCTTGAGACTTTGTGGTAAAATGTTCTACATTTTTTTTAAGTTTTCCCCATTTATTTTATTAAAACAATTTTTTTTAATGTTTATTTATTTTTGAGAGTGAGAGAACATGAGCGAGGGAGGGTCAGAGAAAGAGGGAGACAGAATCTGAAGCAGGCTTCAGGCTCTGAGCTGTCAGCACAGAGCCCGACACAGAGCTCAAACTCACGAGTTGCAAGATCATGATCTGAGCTGAAGTCACTTAACTGACTGAGCCACCCAGGTGCCCTGAATTTTACTGTCTTACTGGAAGAAATGAAATTCAGATTCTTCATGTCCCCTGAAGGCCATGTGCAGTAGTTATCTTTTATAAACTATTAGCCAGATTTCAGAAACATCTCAGGGGGCACATTCCCCTTGAGAAATCAGCATTTGGTGGTTTGTTTTAATCTTGGAACAGTGGTATTTGGATGGTGTTTTCTAAACATGGTCATGATTCACGGTCCTGCAACTGACCCACTGAAGGAATAAAGTACATCCTTTTCTCCTGTGACAAAGCCTTGAAAGAGACATCTTACAGAGGGATTAAACATCATGGTGTATGATCCAAAGATATCCTTTGCATAAAACATATACCCGTTGTGTCATTTAAGTTATGTACATGTGTCAAATATCAGACAATATTTATTTTCAAATGATGGAGAGTAAATTGGTGGAAATGTATGCCAATAAGAATGAATAATTTTCAGTGCATTTTTTCACAATTTTTGGTTTTTAGGTAAACAGACGAAGCCAAAAATCAAATATATGGTGTAGAAGGATTTTTTTTTTAACTTTAACATTCTAATAATCTCATTACCAATTACACTGAAGCTTAAACTTTGATTTTCTCAAATTTAGACATTACTGCCTGAGATTGGAAACCCGTACTCTCAAACACTCAGAATGATAATGAGTATTATCCAACAAAAGAGGCCATATTCAATGAAGGTAAGAATAAGATTTTTTTTTTCCTTTATTCAAATTTTTAAAAAGATTTTACTATTATTTTTTAATTAATTTATTTATATTCAAGTTAGTTAACATACAGTGTAATATTGATTTCAGGAATAGAACCCAGTAATTCATTGCTTACATATAACACCCAATGATCATCCTAACAAGTGCCCTCCTTGATGCCCATCACCCATTTAGCCCATCCCCCCCACCTCCCCTCCAGCAACACAACACTTTGTTCTCTATATTTAAGAGTCTCTTATGGTTTGCCTCCTCTCTGTTTTTATCTTCTTTTTCCTTCCCTTCCCCTGTGTTCATCTGTTTTGTTTCTTAAATGCCACATCTGAGTGAAATCATATTATATTTTTCTTTTTCTGACTACCTTATTTCGCTTAGCATAATACACTCTAGTTCCATCCATGTTGTTGCAAATGGCAAGATTTCATTCTTTTTGATCACCAAGTAATATTCCATCATGTATATATACCACATCTTCTTTATCCATTCATCAGTCAATGGACATTTGGGCTGTTTCCATAATTGGCTATTCAAGTTTTTTGTTTTTTTAATTTCATTACAGACTTTTAAAATGCATGTCCTATATTTTTATAACATGATCTTTGATAGAAAACTCACACTGACCTTAAAAATCTACCCACTTAACAGATACAAACATAAAAAAAAAATAGATATCACCACAGGTTAACCATGGATTATTTTAGTAAGTACTAACTTAGTAATCATGCAGATCTTCATGGCTTAATAGCAACTGATTTCATTAACAGACTGTGGAATGACTGCTTCAGTGCTTAAAACTACTTAATTACAGAAGTATCATTCAGAACATGTTTTAAAATTTTTTTATAACTTCAGAATTGTGATCTCTGAGTTTTGTTATCCTAGCCCTTCTAAGCCCTTCAAGGCCTCAAGTTTGGGTAAAAGAATATAAAATATCTATAATTCAGGAAAATTATGCCTTATTACCAAGTCCCAGCTACTCACCCATCTTCCTTCTCAAGTTAATATTGAGAAGATTCAATATTAAAGTCTCATAGAATTTGAAATGTACAGATGATGGTGGTTTATTACAGTGCTGTTCCCTGCAGAAGTGTAAGACATTCACCTAGACGCAGGCCTTTACAACATTCAGGATATTATGGGCCGTTTTCCCCTGAAACATAAATATTATAGTAATCTAAGTCAGTATCCTTGACTGTGAAAGATATTCATGCATGCAAACATCAACTTTAGGCAGAGCTTAGGTAAATTGAACTAATGAAGAGCTTTATAACTTCTAGGGTGCCTCGGTGAGCACAGAACCTTTCCAGAACTATTTTCACACCACACACAGTTTTAAATTTTTTTAATGTTTATTTTTGAGGGAGAGAGGAGGGGGTGGGGAGGAGAGAATGTTTGCAGGAGGGGCAGAGAAAGAGAGAGAGAGAGACACAGAGGATCCCAAGTAGGCTCTGCACTAACAACAGAGAGCCTGATGTGGGGCTCGAAACCACGAACCGTGAGGTCATGACCTGAGTGAAGTCGGATGCTTAACCAACTGAGCCACCCAGGTGCCCCTGCTTGGGTTCAGTTTTAGGGAAAGACCTAGAGATGGCAGAGAAGACTCAAACTAAACACATTCTTCACATGACACTGAACACTCTCGAGGCATGTAATGAAACCTAAGGTCTCATGAAACAAACATTGAAAAGCACTGGTATTGAATACATAGCAGTGATGATCCGTATACCTTTATCCTAGCTGCATCAGCTACATCCCCACAACCTGCCTCATTTGCAGAGAAGAGTCTAGACTAAACATAGAGATCATGTGCCCAAGAGCCTCTCTGTCTAGGAAAGATAAAACTTGTCTCTCTGCTTTCTCCCACCTGCTCCAATAGTGGGAGGTCATGTTAGCTTTAATTATAAAAATACCTGGGGGGCACCTGGATTGCTCAGTGGGTTAAGCTTCCTACTCCTGATCTCAGCTCAGGTGTTTATCTCCGGGTCATGATTTCAAGCCCTGCATTGGGCTCTGTACTGGGCATGAAGCCTACTTAATCAATCAATCAATCAATCTGGGATAAGCTCTGAATATATGTGAATAAGATAAAAGCAGTTGCATGTTAAATAATTTTGGCTTGAATACTTAAATCAGATTTTTTATGTGCCACTTGGAAATGTATCTGTTGTTTATAAGATTTCTTTGGCTTCTTCAAGAGGTATATTATCTGTGTAACAAATTTGATCTACAGATGTTAGAGTTGAAAGGAAGCTAGAAGATACCTCATTCACCTGCTGCCTTTCAGCTCCCTCTAACACCATCTAACAGATAGTAAAGTGAGACTCAGAGGAGCCCACTCACTTGGTTACTGTCTCAGAGCTAGAACAGGGCAGATGCAGGCCTAACTCCAATGCACTCAGCATTGATACCTTTGTCTCTGACATTTGAAAGTAGACTACATAAAGGAAATAAAAACACATTTATAGAATCTTTAAATCTCTTCTAAAGAGTCAAGGTTGAATAGGAGAACAAAAACTGGACTGGAAGGGTCAAGAACACAAAATCAAATCCAGAAGCCACTGCTACCTTCTAGGCTACGCTAATTAGCTTTTCAGACCATCGACTCTTTTAGACCTCATCATTGTCTGCATAAGTCTTACTTTGTGGAGGAGCAAAAAAAGATTTCTCTCACAGTATATCTGGGAATATTACCTCAAACGTCTCACTGATAAATTCTGGTCCTGCCCTGCTCAGAGTTCTCTGTGCTCCAAGTGTTTGCCATTCTCTTCTTCGTGTGTTTTCTACATAACTCCCCTCCCACTGGCTTCTTTCTAGTTTATAAGCTGTTCAAATCTACTTTCATTGAATCTTCTTTCTCCAAGATTCTGTTTCCCTTTCCTTTTATTTCATTCTACAAATTTGTATCAAATGCTAGCAATGTACGAGGCATTGCATGTTTCTTGAAAAAGTCATCTGTTAACTGCTTCTATTTCCTTATTCCCATGTCTCCAGTTATCTGAAAATGGCCAAACCGCCAAGAAATTGATTCTCAGTCCCTTTACAGCATTTACAAAATCAAATGCTACCTGTTTTCTCAAATGTTCTCTTCTGTCAGCTTTTAGAGCATCATATTCTTATGATGCTCCTTTCTCACTGAACTTTTTCTTTGGCTTCCTTTCATTTATCTGCCCCTTAAGAAGAGCTGGTGTTCCCCTTAGTTGTGTTTGTGGCTCTCTTCCCATTCAGTTCATTCTTTGGGGGCCACCCTAATCACTCTCATCATTTATCTATTTCTTATGAGGCAGGCAATGAGAAATGAGAATGGCTTTGAAGGACAATGATTCCTTTTTTAAAAATTTTTTAATTTAAAAAAAAATTTTTTTTAATGTTTATTTTTGAGACAGAGAGAGACAGAGCATAAATGGGGGAGGGTCAGAGAGAGAGGGAGACACAGAATCTGAAGCAGGCTGCAGGCTCTGAGCTGTCAGCACAGAGTCCGACACGGGGCTCGAACTCACGGACTGTGAGATCATGACCTGAGCCGAAGTCAGACGCTTAACTGACTGAGCCACCCAGGTGCCCCTGAAGGACAATGATTCCTTAAGGCCACTGGTACTGTGACCTGGAAAATATAAACTGGGACCACTTGAAATAGTACTTCCATGAAGAGGGTACCTAAGAGGTTGGGAGGGACACCAGCAATGATCATTTTAATATTCTCTTCCTATTCTACAAAGCTATGTCCCTCCCTATGGAAATGTAAAGGGAGAAGGATTATAAAATATGGATTCCCCAATCAACCCCAGTATTTTTTTCCTCATCCTTGTGTGATCTAAGACCACCAACATGTCAAGACAGCTAAGACAGTTTGCCATACTTTCATGAATCTGTTTCCTGAGACCATCCACTATAGTTTCTGTGCCATCCTGGAATGACTGGTGGCCGGCTCAACTTCGTAGAGACTCAAATGGTACAGCAGGATATTTGTTACTTAAAGCTCAGTTTCTCCCAAGGCTGAAATTCATTTCCTATTCTATTTCCCACCTCAGATCATAGCCAAACACACTTCATCAAAGGAGGTTTTACAGTGAGCATCATGGGAAAATGGCAGCAACAGAGAATACCCCTCAGATGTGTAGTATGAACTTCTTCCCATTAATTTCCATAGAGAAATGAAATTCTAAAGAAATTGGATCCTCAAATTCTTCCCTTCATAATGTCTCATTCTGCCCAGCCTCGGCCTGGGCTGTTTCACTGAGGCCAAACACATTGCCGTTGCCCATCACGGCCAATAGTAGAATCCCAGTGGCATGTGGGGAAAAGTGGATACCACCAGTAAAAAAGAAAATGGCCTTGGCTTCAGGCTCACCAGGATGCAAGTCTTAAACTCCTTTGGAGAAGTTTCCCTCGAAGGTTAGTTTTGTTCCCCCATGTTGGAGTGGAGCACACCTGTCCAACATAGTTGTTCCCGTGCTGCCTCCCTGTGCCAGGCACTGACACCTGAAAGCCAAGACATCACACGTGTCCATATCCACATAGAATTAGCTGAGTTGTGTGGTAGCAGCAGCAGCAGCAGCAGCAGCAGTTTTGTATTTTAATCAGGTCAGGGGTGGTTTAAAGCTTATCAGCCTAGGGCCCAGGCCAAAATAACATAAAGGAAAAAAGCAAACTGTGTTGACAAAATTATCCTGCTTGATAACTAAAGCAAAAGTGGGGAGGGTCAGGCCCTCCTAGTCAAAATGGCAGATACCTTCCTTGCTGCAGCTGGTAACTGCAGACCTTTCTGGTGGTTTCACCTGGTGAGAGGAAGTGAGGGGATACCATGGCTCCTCCAAATTATACAGGAAGCAGGCAGGGGGACATTGTTTTGCATGTGTGGCTCCATTAACTCCACTCATAGCTCAATCAGATCATCAGACCATCATCTCTGACTTCCTGAAACAGGAGTGAGTAGGGACCAGCTAGATAGAAGGGCTCCAAGTGTTCATGACGAAGCTACCCGCTTCTGGGCTTCTTTCCCCTGCGCTTCTTCCCCTAGAGCAGCACTGTCCAAATAATGCAAGCTGCAGATGTAATTCTAAATTTTCTAGAGGCCATGTTAAAAATGTAAAAAAAAAAAAAGTCATTTTAGTAATATATTATTAATCCAGTATATCCAAAATATCATTTCCACGTGTATAAGCAGTTACTGAGTTTTGCATTTTCTTTTTCCTACTATGTCTTAGAAATCCATCGTGTATTTTACATTTATAGTACAACCCAGTTCAGACTAGCCATGTTTCAAGTGTTCAATAATCACACATAGCTGGTGGCTACAGTACTGGACAGCACGGCCCTAGATAATTTCTATAAGCAGGGAACAAGAATCCCCTGTGCGATCCACCTCGGTGGTGCCTCTCAGATCTCCTCCCTTTCCACCATCACTGCTCCGTAATTCAGGTCCTGACCATCTCCCACCTAGACACCTCCCAACTGCTTCCTACCTAGCTTCCCTCATCTCCTAATGCATTCTGTATGCTACCAGTTCACTGTCTCATTTTGTTCTGCAGCACTTTCACTGGATCACAACCCCTATGAAAGCTTAGACTCATTAAGGTAGTTTGTCCCTAACCTTCCACTGACTTTAAGACTGTTAACTCACATCTAGCCATGTCTGTCTTTGGCACATGGTACATGGCACCCCGTTATGGAATGCTCTCTAAACCCTACCCCACCCCCATCCTTAAGGAAATCCTACCTTATCCTTTAAGGCTCAAGCGATAGTTAACTACCACTGTGAAGCCTTTCACATAATGGTTTTTCATGTTTCATTGTTGGAACTTACAGTTGTATGTCTTGGGTTTTTATGGTTTTGGGGTCAGTGCCTCCCTCCACTCTAGATAATAAGCACTGTCCCATCATTTTACAAGGCCTCACACACAGTGGACATTATGTAATCTGGGTGAAATTGAAGCATGTATAATTGAGCCACATTCGGAGAATGTTTATAAATCACCTACCTTGTTATTTTTCCTAGCTGACAATAGTAAAGCAGCGAGAGCAGCCAGAAATGGTTTTCCGACAGTACCTGGTAGAAGACAAAGGACTTTATGGAGGATCATCTTATGTGGATTTCCTTTGTTGTGTTCACAAAGAGATCTGCCAGCTGCTTAATTAATTGAATCTTCTCTGTTGTTGATGTTGCATTTTTAAGGAGATCATCTCCTTCTTGGTGCCTAATTCTCCAGATGATAACAGGCTAGTTTTGATTTCTTGCTCATTTTCAAAATAGCTTTCCAAGAGGACATTTAGGACTTCAGCTTTGGTGCTCAGGTATAAAGTCAATGAAGGTACAGTGGTACCTTTTAAAGGGAACAGTCTATTTCTGATTGCACAATTTTTAACTGTTAAAATCGATACAGTTTGCATTTCATGAAAGGCATAGTTTACAGAACTGTAAACATTCTTAATTTTCTTTCTTTGTGCTAGACATATAAATTATTTTTCAAAATGTATAGATTTGGGGTAAAAAGTTGTCTTGGCTCTCCCATTTGCAGTGAGGGAAAAAAACAATTTTTACATTATACCTAATTTTTTAAAACCATGTAACACCCCTTGAACATGTTTTTCAACTTAAGGTTTGCATAGCAGACTTTTAATAACCTTGGAATCTATTTGGTAGAACGATTTGTGTTCTACTTTTTTTTTTCATAATTATATGTTGTGTATGTTAAAACTATTTTCCAGTTGTTGTTTTGTCTATAAAACTGTCTTTATCTATATTCTTAATGGTTCTCTGTACAATTTTGAGGGTTTCTACCTGTATATAATGGATCTTAACCAGTACCAATAAATCACTTCATATGCTCTTACTCAACAGGTAGAGATCATTTTTTAGGTATTTTGAGATTTCAAAATAAGGGTCATACTGTGTCTTGGATAAAAGTTGTTTACAAGGCTCACTAAGAAAAAATGGGGAAAACTATTTTTTTTTTTTTTTTGAGGGTTGGGAAGTGTTAAGTGAATATATCAGTCTAGGAAATATCAGTGACCATGTACTTGAGAATTGCATTTTTAAAAATTCTCCAGTATGTCCTTATGGGCAAATAATAGAAATGGGTTATATGAGATCATTATTAATAAATAAATATAAACCTAGGAGAGGGGTTTGAGTGGTATGACACAGGCATCTGTCCTGTATCCGCCCTAATTCAACTCTGATACTAGTGATATGAATAAATAATAAGAGTTAAGTATACTGAGTACATATAATGTTGTAAGAAGTGCACTATATGTTTTGAGAACATTTATTCCTCACAGCAACCCTAATCTTATTACCAGCCCCATTCACAGATGAAGAGATAGGCTTGAAGTGAATAAATCAGGACCTTGTCTACGATTGCATGGCTAGTAAGGTTTATTTATAAATCAGTAGATGTCATGAAATTGAGTAGAATAACAAATACACTGACAGAATTAAAATCTCTTCCCATGTTAATTGGCATGATGTTTCAGACTGACTCGGATGAGTTTAACAAGAAGAAATGTATGATCCTGAACTTGTGTCCAGAAAAATGAACATGCAGATGCTCCTTGGAAACAACGGTATTTAAAACAGAACCGAGGGAGTTTGTCAGCATGAATCTATAGTGAGATGAAAGCAAATGTGATCTCAAGTTACTCTATTACCAGAATAACCTCTCAGATGAGTAGAGCTACTCTGAGGTGAAACCACATTGAGATGCGTGTTCAGTTCTAGGCACCATGCTCCATGTGAACTAGAAGCCCAGAGCACATTCCTTGATTCACTCGATGATAAGTCTCTGATTGCTCTGTATGTTCCCTAGGGTAGAAGACCAGAAACAATATGTAGAAGTGACAAGGTGCCACTCAGTTGAAAGAAGAACCTACTAAGTAATTAGATGCTCAAAGAGTGTGCCATTCTGGGAGGTAGTGTGTTCTACATATTTATTTATTGCACATCTTCTATGTGCCAGACGCTATGCCCTCTACTGGAGAGACAGACAACAGTGAGCAGCACAAACAAAATCCTCTCCATCTCTATAATTACAGTAGTTTTCATAAATGCTGTGACATGCCATAGTATTTTGTTATTTCATATATAAATTTTATATTATACATTTTATGTGTATATATGTATAAATTTATAATATATATTTACATATGTAACATAGAAATAAAATCAGGTATATGTGATATGACCTAGTCTAGCTAGCGGGCACGTATAGTCAGTAAAGATTTCCCATTAGTTATATTAAAGCTGGGACCTGAAAGAATTAGTAGACATTAGCCAGGTAAATGAGAGTATTGGTAAATATGTATGAAGGCTCAGAGCGGGAGAGAGCACCTATCACCCTTTCAAGAAACTTGCAGAACTTAAACTTAGCTGGAACTTACTAGGGAGAGACAAAGTGGCAAAAGATAAAGCCTAAGGGATAGTAAGAGTGAGTCCTAGTCAAGGGGGAGTTTAGATTTAATCCTAAAGGCAAAATGAAGACATTCAAACTGATTTCAGTAAGTGACAGGACTGTCTTTAGGAAGATCACTCTGGGGTTGTAAAGTGGTAGAACTAGAAGCAGAAACACCACTTAGGAGGTTGAGTAGTCTACTGGAGTATATGGCGGCCTGCACTAAAATAACAGAGGGTTTTGACAGAGGGAGATAAGGAGATGAAGTTAGTGAAGGAGAAGTGTTTCCCTCAGAAAGGAAACACCAGAGTAGATGCAGACTGTGTGTATGTGTGTCTCTGTTTGCACAAGAGGCAGTAGTTTACAGCTGTCCGTGCTGAGGTAGCTTGAAACCTATGCAGGTGGGATAAACTATACCTAAAAGTAAAGGCCTGAAGCTCAAGCAAAAACTCTGGGCTGGAAATTTGCAAATCATCTATGTACAGAGAAAAAGAAATGGCACAAGATGAAAAAACCTCTGACAAGACTGGGAGAAGGGCCAGAGAGGTAAAAAGGAAAACTTGGCAAGAGGATGTTACAAAGCTAAGGTAAGAGGGGTGCATGCAGAGAGTGGGGCAGCCAAATTAACAGCCTTCCTAGAGGGAACTTAAAGACTAAAAGGGTTGTTGGAATTAGTTTAAAAAAAAAAAAAAAAAAGTCATGGCTGAGTTTGGTGAGAGCAGTTTTACAGGGTCAGTGAACTTGAACGCTACATTGGAATATGTTCAACAATGGGAGTCAGAGTGGAGGCAACTCAAGAAAGAGATGAGAGAGTCACAGAGGAAGGACAGGATTTTTTTATTTTAAGACAGGGATTTGACATTTAAATGCTGGTGGAAAGAAGCCAGTATTATGTTGGAAAAATAAATAGTGGCAGTACTGTTTCATCAACAGTTCGAAAAATGTTGAAGACTAAAGACAAAAAAAGGTTTAAAAGAACAAGATTCTTAGAAGGCAGAAGATAATATAATGCAGAGTACAAATAGATTAGCTTTCAATGGGAAGAGAAACCCAATACATAATGGAGGTGCTCCAATAAATCCTGAAGGACAACTTGCCAAAAATGTTGAGTGCTGTTCTAAGGTGTTCTGCAATAGAGCATCATGGTTTCTGGAACCAATGACATAGGTTTCCATACCAGCTCCACCCTGAAATTGAACGTCAGGGCATGTTAGAAACCTTTCTGCCTTGGTTTCCTACTCATTTGTTAATAAGTGTTAAAGGTTTAGAATAGTCCCTGATACACAATGCTATTTAAGTGTTCATTGCTATTATTATATTAGTATTTTTTATTTTTTATTTTTGTTAAACCTGCTAAGAATCACGAAAACTAGGACTACTCTGATTCCTAATTGTATTTGCTCTTGATGCCATGAGTATATTAACTGGTATCCTCGAAATCAAGCTATCTTTAAATGCTGTAGAAATGTCCAATTAAATGACGGTTTCAGAAATTAAAATAAATTTATCAATGAGAAAACTACTTAAGCTGCTTGAAGTGTTAAAAACCCAAACTTGTAAAATATAAACCAAAGACAAGAATTTGCATTTTGTGTTTTGAGGAACTATTATGAAAAATAAGAGTTTACTCCCTCAAGAAAGCATATCTTTGAGGAAGTTACTAAATGGCGTTACCTTCACTTCCTAGAAGTAACCGGATAACAGGAGACTGAGCATACTTAGGAATGATATATTAATATATTTTTTTAATGTTCAGTCACATGGGGACATGTTTCCTATTAATAAACCAATAAAGAGTAAGGATCAAATTTTAGATCATGTTCTGGAATAGGGCAAGATATTCTGAAATTGTGTATTAGCTCCACTAGGAGGCGTTATATACTAAAGTGTCTGAAACCTTCCAGAAAGGTTAGTCAATAATCTTCCAGAAAAGGTAATTCTTTGCAGAGAATTGACTTTGTAAATTTTAATTGCTGAAAACACAAGATGTAATGCTGACCACACTAGATAAAAAGAAAGAAAATCTCCAAGGAAAGAGGCAACAGAAATCCCTTAGTCATCATCTTTAATGGGTATTTCCTGGCCTCTTCTTAAGACACTGATAAGAAGCTTACTACTGCTTACTCCCAAACAGCCATTTATGAACAACTCTGTAAGAAAATTATATTTAGCACATTGTTTTCCTTAAATTTTTCTTTTTGGTGCTAGCTGTGTTTTGAGGCCACAGGTGAAGTCTTCCTTCACTTGATAATAGTTCTGAGTTTAAAGCTAACATATATTACTATTGTGTCCCTTCCAGGCCAAACCCTCCCAATTCCCAAAGCATTTCCTTGTAAACATGATTTCCAGAGCCATTGTCATCCCAACTTAATACATGAAAATCCAGTTTTAACTCACATAAAGAACAAAGTCAATTTGGGAAAGCAAAATGACCAGTGTCTAGTTAAGGAAACTATCATTCAATAATATTGACTGCAGATGGTCTCAAGTACATGGTTATGCGAAAACTTTCAGGGTGTGCTTTTTATTTTGAGAGCATTATAAAGTTTTTACCAATTACACATACAAAACTCTTTTGCAATAAGAATTTCCCATTTTAAGATATTTTATGTAAGACTTCAGTTTCTTAAGTCCGTATTTTTCAAACAGGTTATTTCGTGAGTCCACAAAACACTTTCTTTAAATACATATTACTCATGTTTTTAAACTCATTTTAATACTCATATTACTATACAGTTTTAAGATATCC